TTCCGCGCAGGCGCGTAGCGTAGAGCAGTGTAGTGCTAGTTAGGACTTAGAAGGTATAAAGTCATTCAAGGCGTCTTGCCTTGGGATTTTTTCCAGTTTCGGAAGTGCAGATCAGGAACTCATTTTCTCTGCGTGTTTGTGTCCTTAGTTCTGTCACCACGCAAGAGGAGCTACACCTTGGCGATCCGCATTGTGTAGCTGAAGGCCTTCGGCCGAATGTTCGGAGCTAGTACATTGGTTAGAGACTTGAGTAGTTCAGATCTACACCTGCGGGTGACTGCCGATGCTCAAAGCCAGTGACGAGTTAATTACTTGAACAGTTTCGCCCCTACACCTTCGAGTGACTGTTCCTGATTGTACTCCTTCGGAATTTTTCCCCTGAATGCCAAAGTGAAGTTTTGCTACTTCGTGTAAGCCTTGGTTGTAAATTCAGGTTACGCTGCAGCAGGTGCCTTCAGAGTAACCCCTGTAGTATTTCTGGGAATGACAAGTGCCTAAGAATTCAAACTCTTCAATAGACTGTTATGGTGTGTTACTGGAACGTTTCTCAGTGAGTCCTTCCGTGCGGACCTGTGTTCTCTGCGCGTTTTGTGAGTTGAGAGTGTTGTTCACCGCGTGTGAGTGACTTCGATCCGAAGTAGGAAGTCCAATCCGGGTTCCCTACGCTAGCAGAAAACTAGTGGAAGGGTTGTAAAAGCCGGAGTTGGGAGTCACTACCCGCAGCTTCGCTGAGTGTACTCGCGAGAGACTTTCCCCCTGAAATCTTGAGTAGAGGTCCTAACCGATCTCTGGGTTATGTTTCTGTAGTTTGAGGTGTGTGTGTGTGTGTTGAGTGAACTACGCTGCACTGTGCAACCTCCGAGTGAACACTTGCAGTATTTCTGGGAGTGACAGTCGCCTGAGAATTCAAACTCCTCAATAGTCTGTTAAATGTGACACTTTGTACCCTGTGTGTTCCTCTGTCCCTGTGGGTTCGACCTTTCTACCACTATATTGCAGTTTTAGCCTTTAGTGGGTTATTACAATCGCTTCTGCAGGAATGTCGCAGTAGCACTTATTCAACTTTTGCAGCCGCATAGGACCACCTACATGACATCTTGGCAGGTGGCGTTCGTGGAGCTGGCGTTGGCCGGAGCTCCGATTCATTGGGCTCGCATTCTGTGGAAGGCGACCAGACAACATGCGTTCGAGGAGAAGGGAGGATCGATTAATCACCTCTCCCCCTTCTTGATCAATTTCTATCGGTCGATGGGATGTCTGACCGCGATAGAGCGAGTGCAATTCCCATTGCTGTCACGTAGCAATCCAGGAAGGTATGTGAAGGACGTCGAAGTCTACACCGACATAGACAAGACACCCGCCTGCACGCCACCAGCTCAACCGAGGACCGAGGAAGAATCGCTCGCAGCACGAATGTCGCAGAAGCGCAGGTGGGAAGGAGAAGCGGAGAAGAGCCAGCAACGCGAGGCTGCTGCTCTCAAACGAAAGCGGCCATGGACAGAGCTCTGCAGTCGGCCCAAGCAGAAGGCACGCAGGCTCGTCTTGCCTTAGCTTCTTCAGCTGCATGCTCGATCTCATGTCATTTCCGTCTTCGTCCTAGGAGAAATACTTAGATCGTGCCATTGTACAAGAAAACTCTTAAGGAAATTTCTGCCGGAAATCTCCAAGTAGAATCAGGAGATTCTACTTGGATATCCTTAATTATTTTGGGAAGACTCAAAATTTGAGCTTCATTTTTTAAAAATTGAGCTAGTTTTGGTGGACAAATCCTGCCGAAGAGAATTTTACAATCAAGCAATTCAACTTATCTCTCATTGATAATGTGGACCATGATGTCACTCAATCTAAAGAGAGCAAGGTTTACAAGAGAAGCAGATATGAGGATTTCATTGCAGCTCGTCAAACACGAGAATTCTGGTCCTTCGAGAACGTGTTTAGGTTAGTATTCTTCATTGACCTGCCGTATGCAGCAGTCTGGAGAATGGGGTGCTCTTTGGAGCGTCTGTTGAGTGGAGGAGGGGTTGGGAGAAGTATTGATTGCAGCTCTTATTGTCTGGGAGTGTAAATTTCCAATAGACACAAAGAGTCTCCGTTGATTTTAAGTGCTCGTTGCCTTTTCCCACGTCTGTTGAATGAGGCTTTTGTTTTTGGGCCCGTACCTTGTGATCCATGGTACTAGATTCGTCGTCCTTGGGTTCCTCGATTTGGCCTAAGTCCAAATTCATTAGCAACTGTTTGTCCGTCTCGTGAGAGAAATGCAAGAAACAAGAAAACTGCACTTCTGTTTTGACCTCCACTTGATAGTGAAGACAATCCTCGAGCCTTCTCGTCCGATACAAAGGTACAGTCTTAGATAGAGTCTGCACCTATTTCTGCCCATCCGAGGTATGAGGCGACGCGCTTTCCGCTGTATTATCCTATTGTTTGACAGCATGATTGTCCAAAATAATTTCAAAATCCAGATCTCAGGAACTTGAACCGCGAGGATTCCAGCTTTTGAGCCCATTGCTCTCCCGAAAGCGCATCTTACTCCAGTCCACGTTAGATTTTTCAGGGAGGAAGCCTTTGGCTTGCTGATGGAGAGAATTGCTATATTGTGCATTCACTGATTGCAGTTGAGGGTGAACTTCAAGTGCGAAGGTTTTGGACCTCATACAATCACAATCGTAGATACGATTTACATGCACGTCGATGATGTTGGGAAAGCAGGGGAATCATTGTACATGAAATCCCTCGATCGATGCACTTATCGGAACATAACAATGACAATTGCATAGGTCCCTCCCTCCTGGCAGGGCTGTGCTGGTCTAAGCGCACTGTCTGTGCCTTCGTTCCAATTGAGTGTAGAAAAAACGTGGAAACTTTCATGATTTCTCACGGAGAGGGCCTCTTCGTGAGAAATCATGCACTGAGTCGCATCATATGGCTCCTCGGCCCGTACGTTGCAACGTCGCCCCCTTCACACTTGAGATGCAACCACATCATTTAAAAGTCATCGGGGACTCCGATCCCTGCACTCCCTCCTTTCCTGCTACGAGGTGGGCAAAGATCTTCTCCAACCGGCAGAAAAGTCCACCAACCGGGAGCAGACGGCTGCAAACATTCGCAAAGGAGGAAAGGGAAGAGGACATCGGAAATCATAAAAAGTAAAGCCAACCATGGCACCGCTGCTGGATTCATGCCATAACGTGAGGGCCACAGCATCCAGAGGATTCGTTCGGACGATAAATCAAACTGCAATTCTTTGCCACACGAGAAAGCACGAACGAAAAAAGCGATAAATACTAAGGAATCATGGCTTCCATCTCTCTAGTGTGCGTGTGTTGTCGTTATGACGACACCTTGCGAAATATCTGGTCCCATTCGAACATTGTCAAAGCGCTATGTTCTGCAGTTCTGAGCACACGAAACATGAGAACAGACTGTAAAGCGGAAAAACATGTCGTGTCATGTTTCCTGCATCGGATCTCGCACGACGTGACTAGAAGTGAACACAGTCGTCTAGTATCGGCACATGAGGACAAAATGGGAGAGAAAACAACGGTCTCCCAAGTCGTGTTGCAGAATAGTACTGATCTGTGAGTGGACTGTTTGTACCATTGCTCACAAAAAATCCACGCTAAAATCGACGACGTTAGCAGGCAGAAGGGAAAGATTTGTTCGTTCAGGTTATAACACGACTGCTGCAGATTCCGACACCGACTCTCCTTACTTATTTCTGAAACAGCAAACCTGTTTTGTACGCTGGACGCACGTCGGGAAAGTCTGAAATCTTTATGGATCATGCCACTATTCTTTCGTCGGGGACTTGCGACGGCTTGATCTTTCTCGCCTCTGAGCCGCTGCTCTATCTGAAATTCCTCGTCATGGAACATTGTACATGGCAAACAGATGATAATTTTCTCCCTCCCCTCATATCATGGTTCCAAGAAGCAGGACACTTTCTCCATGAGCGGTTTTCACTCTGTCTTCGGATAAGTCGAGTGCACTTCTCAGCTCAGAAAGAATCGTTACCTCTAGGACACTCCCCAGGCAACACAAGAACTAATCATCATGTTGGTCTCTAACTCAGTCATATGTTCTTGTGGAAAGTGAAAGTTTCACGCCAACATACTTTTGAATCAGAAAGAGAAGTGAAGTATAATGCATGGAAGCAAACTTTGCAAGGGACAATGATGCAGTTGCAACGCAAACTTCCTGGGAATATAGGGGCCTTTCTTCACTTCATTAACATGTAAATGTGGAAACAGTCACTTCACCCGTAGAGGGAACCTGAGCTTGCTGCGCAACATGCATGGCGGTTAACCCTCCTGCCTCCATAGGGAGCGAACAATTAAACGATCGGTGTTTACGCTATTGCCAGAATAAACGGTCTGCGTGTGTCAAAGTCAGGTCATGGACGCAGTCGCGGAGATTAAGTCTTCGCATCTATTGTGTCTCTAAAACTTCGAGCGGAGTTTTTACTCCTCGACCTATGAACATCTGCGAGCGGTTTCGATCCGTCAGATGCACAATGCACCAAATGAGGAACTCGACTACAAACTACTTTCCGTCGTCTTTCACTAGCTCTTCGGTAACCTACCAGCTTCGGACACATCACGATCGGCGTACACCCGCGAACGTAGGAAGAGTAAAATCATGCACTGTTCATCGACCCTTAGTCCAACAACTTGATAGGCATTTGATTGTAGGAACTTGATTTCACAAGTCGAACACACCTGGTTTCATTTCGTACCCGTCCATAATTAATCTGAGAGTGCACATGCCACCATATTGCGCCATTTAACCCCGGCAACAGGGCCGACAGGATACTTTCGTAAGAACGATACAAGGGGTCAAAGAAGCCACCAGAGGCATATTAGTACGAAGTAAGCTTCACAATAAGCTGAATGCACGCGATCATTCATCATGTTCCGACTGCAGTGCAGGGTTCGCCCAGGGAATACAATTAAGATCACAGGACGGTTCGTTGAGATACACCCGATCGACAAAGTGTTGGAAAAATATGATTTTCATTGACAGGGCAAATATCGTCAGACAGACTCTCTTAATGTCTCTCTACATTTCTGATTTACAGCAGGCAGTGCTTGAGAAATTCAGCCCGAGACACGGGGCAGTTCAAAAACTACCGCACAGAGTCTTACACGGGACTGCATTAAACAAAAAGATATACACATAATAGTTCCTACTCTACACTCAACGACTACCTAAAACCACATCTCTAGTGATATCTGTGTATATCTCTAGTGAGGGCAACATGTACAGACTCAAAGGTCCAGACAAACCATGCGCTTGGACATAGATAACTTCCACCCCTTCAGCACGAAGTTGGCTTCGAAGCGCTTTTGAGACTACGACTTAAAAGCACTGACAAGTCTAGGGCCTGTCTAGGTCTCAGCAAAATTTATTCATCCTGCGAAAATTTGACAGCAACTATAAAAGTTGTTGTCACTTTCTCTGTAGAATCGACTGGATGTAGCACAGGTTACTACTAAGGGAAATTGAGGATAGGGAGAATTTTGAATACTTTAGAAACGTAAGGGTACTTCGCCTCGCAACTCCATCTTCCATCTACTGTAAGAATGTCTGGCCTACCATCTACGGAAGATGCTGGGGCTGCATATGAATGAGTAGTTCAAGGAAAAATTTAAGTACTAGTAGGATGATAACCCACCAGTGATTAGACCAGTCACTTGAGTGAAAGCTGCAAGAAAGGCCACCATGACGATCAGCTGTGGGAAAATGTACAACTCTATATCAAGGCCTTGACTCTTTTGAGACAATTAGCCTTGAAAGAAGCTAGTTGCATGGTGTGGTATTTTACAATGCGGCTTGGAACCCAGGCGCTGTATATACCAACGAAGTCAAAGTCTGAATGTGCCGCCGCAGGATTTTCGTTCCATTTCGCACTTTTGTCCAACAAGACAAGTGGAGATCCGCATGTAAGCATTCGTTACTCCTGCGTTGAGTGAGGTCCCCAAGGTGTTCATTTGGATAGATAGCTTCGTACTTGTCCTGCTCCCTGTTAGTCGATTCATTTAATTTAGCAGTGTCTGCAGATCTGATTTATGGAAGAACCAGTTGCTGATGCTGCACCAATCGTAGTGCTCCGCGAGCTGGCAGAAGTCTGATCCATGCTCAGTTATTCTGGTACTCGTCGTGCACGTGGTACGCACGATGTAGCGCAACGTGATTTCTTCATCCTGAGTAAGTGCGTTGCAACACTCCTTAAGGCAGCTCGTGAGCTGGAGAAGGGCCCGGAGCGACAGCGAAGTGCATAGCTCTCGCTTGTCCTGCTTGTAAGATTATAGCAACTTCGGCGGCCGCCATTGCTGCTTCCTGACGCTGTCTTCTACGTTGTAAGATGTTCATCGCACGAGCCATTATGTAGCAAGGTAGTAGAAAGCCAGCGGCTCTCAAAAAGAATAACTGTAGAGAAAGAAGACGGAACAAAATGTTAGGAGACAGGAAACGTTCAAAATTCAAAATTCGCGGACGAATTCGCTATTCATGGGCAAACCAAGAAGACAACACCGAATGTAGGGGCAGACTTCAATCTTCAAGTGACAACAAGAGACAGGCCCAGAATTGATTTATAAATTCTTGGCTGGTGGTTGTTCTCAGAGAATTACGAAAAAAAAGTCCCCCATTTCAATACATATCAGTACTAGTTTGAGCTTCAGAGCGGTTCTACATACAGTGAAGAAAGTGGAAGTATCTTCATCAGTGCCGGCTGCTGCCATCAGAAGTGCGTGCCGAAGGAGAAGTAGAGCCATGAGCTGCAATTGCAACAATCCAGCCGAGTTCAGTTCGATGGAGACCAACACCAAGACCAAAGTAGGCAGTAGCTGATTGATCAACCTAGGTCCTTAAGATGCAATGCCTTAGTACTTCAAAGCCACATGTATGTGTGGCATGTATACAAGGCTACGGGCTACGAGCTACATTTTCAAGAACTTACAAAGCGACTTACAATAAGAGCGGCGGAGCGGCAGCAAGCGGCTCCACTGGCGTTCGCTGCTGCATATTCATCATACTCTGCATCCAGTAAGTGTCGCTCGGCGGCAGCCATTGCAAGCAATCGAGGATCACGCAAGTGATCCAACGGATGGGAACCAGTAATACCCCACTCGCCGCTGTAAAAGAAAAAAACTTGGAAGTCAGTGGCAAGTATATAGGTGAATCACAACCTACATCCTCCAGCCATCTTCAAAGACCCTGAACCTTATGCTAACATTTATTTAGACCTGGGAATTGGTGGGCAAATTGAGAAATCCTTCCGGTCAACTGACTATCTCGCGGTACCTCACCTGAGTTCAATCGGGATCCCGTCGGAATGGTGTGGTCGAGGAGGAGCATCGTATCCACTTTTGTAAGACTGTTCCGTACAAAGAAAAGGAGAAGAGTTATAAACCAATCAAACGGTATTTTTAGCTTCTTTTAGCTCATGGTGAGGAACATAATTTCGTCCCTCCCACAATATACAGCTAATATCACCCTCACTTGGGAGGATGTGAGAGTAACCCCCAGCTAACAGCAAGTTAGCTGGCAGAGGCACAATCCTTGTACATCTCAATGGGAGACATGTGTAGATAGGTTACAACTAGAAACGTACCATGCGGCAAATTTCGCAGATAGTGTCTCCTTTCTCATTACACCAGCGCTGAACACATTTGCGATGTGCAAACTGCAAAGTGTAAAGCAAACCATTAGCAAATCCAGCGCAGTACATGGACAAGACCATGCCCCAAGTTCAAGCACATTTGGATCAAAATGAACCACGAGACACCGGGCCGACTTCAAACTACGGCACAAGGACGCTCAAGCAGAAGCAGCAGTACCACTTTCTAGCGGTGACAAGTAACACCTAGAAGTCCAGAAGATGCCAGATCTGTTCAGAGGTTTTCTGAGGCACAAGACCATCTGCAACAGCCAAGGCGAGTATTCCACAAAAATACAAGCTCTTACCTTAACACTGCCAGAGCAAGCGCAAGGAGTCTCGAGATTCTTCACATCGTCCTCCTCCTGACAGATTCGACACTCTGCAATTTCTCCGGCACCGGCAGTGGATGCATCGTCCGAAAATCCGTCGCCGTTTATTCCAGCCAAAGCGTCGGAAGTAGGAACCGGTGAGTAGCCAAATCCATCTTGAGTAGGAAGAGCGGAGGCTTTCAGTCCGTCTGCACAGTTGATTGAAATGGAGTGCTCAACGGGAGCTGCACTTGAGGCAGATCGGGTAGAACTCCCTCCATCCTGCGAAGAATTGACCGCGGACCCAGCCAACAACCGGTCCACGTCCAGACTAAGATGGTCTCCCATTCCTTCAGGTCCGTTCATTACCACTGCCAGTTCTTCAAGACGTTCCAGAAACCTGTGCGGAAGAACAGAACCGCCGCAAACCTTAACACGATGTTCCTGACGAATATGCTTCGGCGCTTATCAACAAAAGTAGTAGCCTCTGCAATTTCAGCAGCACAGTTACCGAAATTAGGCTCAATGGACTAACTCACCACTTCTCTCAATCGAGACTCGAACATCAATAAACTACGAAACCAGACAGGACGTCGACAGTAATGCTTCGCTCTTCTAAACAAGTGTTCAACCGATTCAATCACTTCACCAAAGGAGCCCATGATCTCCAACTTTACAGTGGTGACAGAAGCAGGCAGACGGTGCAGCGAGCCACAGGCCAGGCCAGGAACAGACAAGAACATCCGCGGCGGACAAGAAATCGCAGGCAAAAGAATCAAGTACCTTGCCCAAGTCGAGTAGATTAGGCAGGAGCCAGGCGTGAGAACTTTCTCGTGAGTTTCAAGAACTCCAACTAAAACCTAAATTGTTCCTCCTCGCGCACCAGTACAAAGACAGCGACCCTCTCAGCCACGAATATCCAGCTCTAACTAAGTGTCCCTGAAAAGACAGGAACCCCCCGCTCCTGAATTGCACACCAAGACCCTCCTCCCACACGATTTCTAAGCCTCCACGCTCTGTACGTCACCTCGAAGCAGCTCGTCCCTCGAGCCACTCACTCACTATGGGCTGCGCAGGCGGTCACAAACCCCACACGCTCTTTCCTTCCTTCCTTCCTTCCTCACTCCTCTCCCGCAAGCGCGATCGCCAAGAGCTCGATCAATCAATCGACGGACGAGCCTACAAACGAAGAACCACCACTAGCCGTCGTCGAAGTCGTCGAAATCGCGGCACTATTACTGACAATAGTTGGTATGAACAATGAACGATGAACACGCTCGCACCTTCGGACGAAATCTCTCGAACTTACCTTCTAGACCAAACAAACCCACACCAGTCCCACGCACACACAACACACACGTCGCTCCTCTCCTCTCCTCTCCTCTACCACCTCCCGGCGCCTCTGCCTCTCTCCTCTCCCCTGGCCTCCCCCTGCCCCTCTGCTACCAGGCCCCGCTTCTTTACCGATGCGTGGTTCGTTCCTTCGGTCCTTTCCTTCTATCTCTCTCTCTCTCCCTCTCTGTGCCTGGTCGTCTTCTGACCGCCCTCTCACGCGCCGCGTCTAGCGACCTTTCCCTTTGAAAACGCGTACACACACAACGGACCAAGTGGCTGCCTCTCGCAAGTCTCGACCGCGGTCTTATACCGGTTTAGGCAGGCCCCGACTCCCGACGACCCCCGATGGCTCCCGTCCCGTGCCCTCCCCTCCCTCCCTCGTCAAGCTTGCGACCGACAAAGCGGGTCTGCGAGCTTGCGCGCGCGGGCCAGGCGAACGGGAAGTTCGTACGCGATGGTTGTCGCACGCCGTGTGTCAGATCACCGGGCCCGGCAGGAGAGGGAGGGCGACCGGAGTCCGCCGTGGGAGGGGAGGTTGGCATGGTCCGCTGCACCGGCGGTCGAGTGCTTCGCAGCAGGTCCTCGGAGGGTCGTAGGCGCAGGGGAGACCGGGAGAGAGGGTGGCGTTAGGCAGCAACAGTCGGGAGCTACCACCGGGGAATAAATTACACGAGAGGTTTAAAATATTGCCCTTTTCCGCTGCTCCTGCTCGCCCCTGAGTCGAAACGGTCAAGAACCTATTTATGAGCGGGCGAAAGAGACATCCATCCATCGATGATTCACCTCGCGCTCATTAAAGAACGCGCCTCGGTTGCCGACTTCCGCCTCTCCCCGCCTCAGGAGGATAGGAACGCAGGCGAGGCAGGCAGGCACGAGAATTCCATCGGCCTGACCGGAGCTGAGAACCCCGAACCCCGAACCCAAGCGGAGGGCGGGGGACTCGATCCGACTCACCGGAGCGGCCCCCTCGTCCCTCGTCCCTCGTCCTCCCATCTTCTGCAACGGCACGGCAGACAGCCCAGAGAGGACCGACGAGGCCTACGGTCCCAACGGGCAGCCCCTGCCCGGGGCACGACTCCATCTACGATGGTATCTTTCCCTCCCTTCGATTATCTCTAGCTCCTCTTTTTCTTTCTCGTCGCCCCTTCTTTCCGACGCCTTCCGGCGTACTCTTCCCTCCCGTCGTCTCGTTCCCTCTCTCCCTCGCGACGTGAATTCCCCCCCGAACCTACCCGAGAAGATACGCACCGCCTTCCGCAGTCCAACACAGCCGCATCTGGAGTTTGCGCCCCACACCATCGGGTGTACTGTGAATGCCTCGTTTTCCCGCTATCCTTTCCCGTCACGAGATACGTCAGCGGGTGGACTTGCCTCGAAACATATGCGGCACTTGTCCTCCCTCGAGGTCGGGAACTGCGAAAGGCGACTCCCCGATCAGAACATGGCCGCATCCATCCATGCGTCCATGGGCATGATGCACCCCCATTCGCATGCCACGCCCTTCCATCCATCCGAATGTCATACGGGGTATAGGCCGCTGGCGGGGGGAATGTCTTCGGGTACGGTGGCAGGGCCGGCCTCCGGAGGTGTCATCCACTCGGCAGTCCATGTCATTCATGGTCGATGAGTGAAGCAGATAGTTTGGCGTAATTCGGCAATCCCAGCAGGGGGCTTGGAAATCCGACCGTGGGAGCATGTGTTGGCTCGAATTCGTGGCCCATTGAGACCACTTCGCAGATTCTTCGTTGCGTTCATCCGCTTGTGTGTCTCGTTGTGTTTAATGCGCTGTTCACATGCCACTGTTGTTGCGACGACTGATGCAGAGCCCCGGATGATGACAACAAACCAAAACGAAGCTGAGAAAACAAGGGTCTGGTCGCCACTATCCCGCTTGTGAGCTAATTTCACTCCTCTGCATGCTCACATGTCGCTCCATTCGCCAACTGACGAGAAGGGGCATTTGGAGCTGCAGTTCGAATCAGCCCGGTCGGGAGACGAAAGCCATTGTTGGCATGGACTAGAGTTGTAATGTCATTCTCATACTTTGTTTTCCAACTCGGATTTCAGCCCGATTTCACCGAATAATACTTATATGAAAGGAGCTCCTGTTTCAGATGAAAGATATTGCTTATCATATCGAATATGTTCAAGTTCAAACACATGTTTAAGGTTGGGACAACAGTTTAACAACTAAGATGAATTAAAATGTGTGGAGCTTATGAAGTTCGACTTGAAACTGCCCATTTGTAATGTTCTTCCCCCAACCTATTACTGGATTCCATCATGATATCTTACCGTGATAGTTATGAAACTGATATTGAAAAGTGATACAAAATTTCAGGTGTTTCAATTTTCTGTCCTGCACTTTCATGCATCGTTTCATTAAATTTGAGAAAATAAAATGATTCTTTACATCGTTATCTAAAATCTTGTGTCTTTTGGGCATTCTTTCATTCTTCTTTGGCTTCCAAAAAACCGGAAGGAAAGAAATAAGCTTAGCTTAATCTAAAATTCATCATCAAATTCTACCGTTAACACGTTGCATGTATACTGTCAACATCATTTCCAACCATGCGTAGCAAGACACCAAAGTTCTTTACTCATGCTCAACTCGTGCAAATTCCCTGCCTCCACATAAACACTGTTATCATTACATGCTCTTTTTTGGGTCTGATGAACCTGAACATACTCAGTGACTTCAATTCAAAGCTAGGAGTCTTCAAGAGTTGGGATAATTGCAAATATTTGACATGAACGACGTGGACTTGCATTTATTTCTAACTGCATTTCAAAAAAAATAAGTGGAAACACACAATTATATACGGTAGAAAGGTTCACAAGCAGCTTTCAATATTCTACCACCGTGAAGTTCTCTTACTCGTTGCAAATTCTGTCCAGTCATTTTCGCAATGGATGTCTTTCCTTTTGAGCATTTCAATTATGCAGCAAGTAGAGAAATTACATGGTGATAAAAAGTAAGTATATGAAGCTCTGAAAATACTTAGTGTGATAAAAAATATCTTAAGAACGCCTGCTCGAGTAAGATTATTTATTAACATTAGACACCACTATACTTTCAATACCTGCGGAAATCAAACCATTACTGGGTTTTTCATCATGTCCTAACAATTAATTCATGTCCCATCATGGATTGATATCTTCATAGTTTCAAGATGCAAGTAATGTGAAACACATCATGTTTGACAATATCTCGCTTCAACTCTTGTATATTAAGCTGCGATATATGTGAAATAGTGTAAATGTACCTAGCTGCTCTTTGTTCTCGCTTGGCAGGACGTAGTAGTAAACATGTGTATCGTTATGATCAACATTAACTGCAAGACTAAAGGTATGATGATTATTGTGGATAAAACGGTATATAGATAAACATTAAACATTCCTAGCGACATTGAGCAGAACTGAAAGAAAAGCAACATGTCAACATGGTTTGATCCGTAAGAAGCAAACCCATTGTTTAATACACACTAAGCATATTAAATTAATAAACCGAAGCGTCAGCCTTTCTTTGCAAAGAAAGGCTGACGCTGAGGACCAGAAGCACCCCGATAAAGTATAGTCCTGATAGACAAGGGTAACAACATATTTAATTGGCGATCCAAAAAAACAATTAATGTAGAGAAGTCATCTTATTAATCGATTTGATCACAACGTCATTCTCACGATCACGTTGCATTGACATGATAATCGTCAATAAAAAATGCGTAACTTGGGCTCACCCCTTCAATGGCGAGAATTTCGCTAAAACGAAGGCCGAACAAAACGACAGCGTCAAATAATGCAGAGTGCCTTAAATAACGGGAGCAGCATTTTCACATGTATGGGAGCAAAATGGAGACAGCGAAAGTTCTACCTTCTGCCTGTAAGCTCATGGTCGTCTACATCGTAGGAAAGAACCTCCTCATGTTGGGAACGAATGCTGGTTGTGGAAAGTTTTCACGTCTTCTTCGAACACTCTACAGTCTCATGAGGAAAATAGTCTGCGACGCGCTGGCGATCGTCGCCAACCTCGCGACAGTGAGATTGAGCTCGAAAGCCTGAGGAGACTCGGGCCGCGAACGAGTTGACCGCAGTTGGATTGGGCGTCGACTCGGTCCCAACGGGGACGGAGATAAACTTGGCGACCACGGCAGGGCCAAAGTTATCGACCGTGGATAAATCTGTGGATAAACTGGCAAGAGCAAAATCTAGGCCGAACTACAGAGCCGGCCGGTGAGTTTAGCGCAGCCGATGTGGATATGTATACTGTACAAGAACTAAATTAGGGCCTATATACATGTGTACGAACCTGCCGTTGAATAGTCTATCCGGTCTCCGGCCGTCGATGGAGAATCCGGCTTCCCGGCTCGGGAGGAAGACCCGTTCTCCGCGGCACATCGATATGCATGGCACATGCGGCATGTCGGTCCTTCCGAAGCCATGGCGAGCTTCATGCAATGGGAATAGATGTCCCCTCAGCATATCAGCCACCAGCTGCGTCCCACGTGGCCGATTGGCGAAGCACATGAAAACTAATATATTTCTCCGCTTTTTGCCACGTGGATAAGCCTTGGTTAAAGGTAATCGGAGTTAGAGCTGGCTGGGTCTCGATTGCTCTCGTATGGTTTGCGAGAAACCTCGTGACGTGTTACATTCCTGCTGACGTTGGTGGCAAGGCACTCCTCGTCTTACATGAATGGACTGAATGGTAGGTTAAAACCCCTCGCCTCTGAAGCTGCCTGGCAGCCTCGGGGGCTCAAAGTAGATGTGTGACGTGGAAACGGGTTGAATGACCTGGAACCTTCTCTGCCTAGGGCCTGCTCTCGAAGACCTTTGCAGGCTCTGCTCGCTCGCGGAGCTCTGCAAGTTCGGTTCTGCAGCATTCTTCTGCACGACCTGAAGCAGCCAAGGATCTCATAACACATATCTCAAACCAATTTTTTCTTACCATGGTCGGTAACTCATCGTGAGCAGCTCTCGGCAGATAGAATCCAGTCGAGGCGAAAGCTACTTTCTGATTAGGCTGACTCGTGTCTCCTCCCTTTTCTATGTCAGACACACATCTCAGGCAATATCTTCGTCTAAATTTTTCTTTTCGGCTTGATTTCTTTTGCGAAAGTAATTTGTACAGGACTTGTACCGAATCGGAAATTCCGCAGTCCTGTAGGAAATTTGAGGTCTCGAGGCGGCTCGAGAAGGAGCTCTCATTATTGAATTTACTGTTTCTGCGATCTGGATCGAGGTGGTGAAAGCGAGATCGGCCTTTTCACCAT